GATTTGGCTGAACACCTCAACGAGGTCGGCTACATGGTCTGCGGCTTAGGTGGTTTTGACCACCATGTCGTCAATGTAGACCTCCATATTCCGGCCAATTTGGTGGTAGAAAATCTTGTCCATCATTCGCTGGTAAGTGGCCCCCGCATTCTTGAGACCGAAGGGCATCACTCGATAGCAGTAATTGGCGCGATCAGTGATGAATGACGTGTGCACCTCGTCTGATGGGTACATCATGATTTGGTTGTACCCGGAGTAAGCATCGAGGAAACTGAGGAGGGCGTGCCCAGATTCTCCATCGACCAGCCTGTCGATGCTCGGCAAGGGGTATGAGTCCTTGGGGCATGCCTTGTTCAAGACGGTATTTCCTCGAGCTCTTTTTTACCAATACCTCGTTTTCCAACCATGTGGTGTACCTGACCTCGCGGATGAAGCCAACGTTCAGCAATTTTTGTGTCTCGGTGATGATGGCCTCCCGTCTTTAACCACCGACCTTCCTCTTTCTCTGGGCCACTAGCCTTGCCTCCTTGTGTATTGCTAACCTGTGATAGATGAAGTCAGAGTTTATACCTGGCATGTCTACACTGGACCAGGTGAAGAGGTCGACGTTTTTGAGGATCTCAGCTTCGAGCTACTATCGCAACTCCGGGCTCAACTGCCTGCTGATTTTTGTGCACTGCCCGAGGAGTTTCCTGATCTGGAGGTTGTCGAGCTCGTCAATGGGACTTGGCCGTTCATCATGGGCGTCGGACCTCGGATCGAGATCAGCGATTTCCACGTGGGTGATGTGAGCCACAGTGGGAGGATCATTCTTGCATTGCTCGCCGGACGAGGAGATCTTCTGACTGTAGCACTGCCGAGCTGTTTTCTGGTTTGCCTTGACGGAAATAATCTTCCCACCATTCCTTGGGAACTTCATGGTGAGGTGTGGAGTGGAAACAAATGCTAAAAGTTGCTTCAAGGTAGCACTAAAAATGATTATATTGTAGGAAGTGTTGGCTTCCACGAGGAGGTATCGGACCATAATCTGCTTTGTGTCTGGAGAGGTCCCGAAAGTTGTTAGCAGGTCCACATATCCCCGAGTGTGAACTCGCTCTCCTGCAAAATCGACTAGGGGCTCTGTGTGAGGTTGGATGAGAGAGTGAGGGATGTCTAACCTGAGGAACGTCGGCCAATATAGGATGTCGGCCGAGCTCCCTTGGTCAATCAGTGTCTTGTGGACCTCCCAATTGATAACTTCCACAGCGATGACCATGGGGTTATCCTGGTTGGGGCTGACGCCAGCATAGTCGTCGTCGCTGAAGGTGATCGGCAATGAACTCTGGTGCGAAGCCGAGGTAGTCGAGTGGACGCTGTTGATGTTGCGCAGGTGCCTCTTCCGGGCCGAGCTGCTGGCACCTCCCCCTGCGAAGCCACCTGGAATTGTGTTGATTACTCCCCGTAGGGGAGCTGACCCTGTTTCCTGGCTTACCTTGGCTTGCACTACTCCATCGGCATTTTGCTGAGAGCCAGAGGGTTGGTCCGTGCGAGCTCCCGAACCACGAACTCTACCTCGTCCTCGTCCACCGTAGCCTCCTCGGTGACCCTGTTGTCGTTGGACATACTGGCCGAGGTGGCCTGCCTGTATGAGTTCCTCTATGCGATCTCGGAGTGTGGACACTCTTCAGTGGTGTGCCCATGGTTCCTATGATACCAGTAGTGTTTGGGCTTGTCCGCACTGTTGAGAGTATAACCTGGTGGTGGCAGGGTGAGCAGGTTGCTGTTACTGGCCTCCTCCAGGATGTAGACTCTGGGTGTGTTTAGGGGAGTGTAGAAGTCGTATCTCCCCCCTTACCTGTTCGAGCGATTTTCTTGAACTGGCTGTCGTTGGTGACCTTCATCTTGTCTTTGTGGCCACTATCAGGTTTTGCTTATGATTTTTCACGAACTTGGTCACGGAAGGCAGAATGTTCCTCCATCTAGATGTACCCAGTAGTACGGGCACGAAGCTCATCCATATCGCGAGGAGCTTCACGACATAGACTGTCGACGAACGGTCCGGGCTTGAGTGCCATGAGCATGGCGTGTATGGCGACCTTAGGGTTCAGATTCTGAATCTTTACCGAGATGGCGGCGAATCGTTCCATGAACGTCTGGAGTGGTTCATCGTCACCCTGTCGGAGACTGGCCAGGGCAGCTGATGTTATATGATGAGGTCAGCTCGTCGCATACTGTGCTATGAACCGTATAACCAGGGTGCCGAAGCTGCCAATGGACTCGGCAGGCAGCTGGGTGTACCAGTTGAGCGCGGCCCCTTTGAGCGAGGTCGAAAAAACCTACACAGGATAGCATCGTTATTAGTGTAGAGCTTTACCTGCATTGTATACAGGTCGATGTGCTCATCCGGGTCCGTCGTGCCATCGTAACGGTCGAGGTGGAGAGGTTTCCATCAGTGAGGGAGCGGCGTCTCCATGATGCCGTCCACGAAAGGGTGACGGCGGAAGGTTGCCTGATCCCCTGTGACATGAGTAGGGGCCTTGTTGACTTCGTGGGCCGACTTGTTCGTCGGTGCATGAGACCGATGCGTGACAGGTCGTGGAGTCGATGGCCTAGTCGTAGTCCGGGGTTGGGAGACCGAATGCCCTTCTTCCTCGTGGAGGTTGCTCGTCTGAGGCTGATGATTGGAGGGGCGTCGAGGGAGTTGGGCGCGAATCCGCTCATTCTCGGCGCGTAGTGCCGCTAGGTCAGCCTCATTAGCGTTCCGCATCGCTCCTAGGTCGGTTTCGTGCTTGGCACGCATGTTTTGCAAATCGACGTCGTGTTGTTGCCACATCTATTTGACCTGGTCGATCAGTCTCCTCAATGTGGCTTCGTTATCCATGGTAGCCGTGTGATCTAGGTCGTCTGTTGCACGTCTGTTATGGCTTCTGGTGCAAACCATAAGTGTGGCCGATAAGAGTTGTCTTGATCGGCCCCACGGTGGGTGCCAGATGTTCTTACCGGGGATCTGAGGTAGAGTTGATCTGCTGGGTAAGGTCGGTGAGTCTCCTTCGCTGGTACGCTTGATGTTCCAAGATGGGGGTGGTACCTGCAAAAGAGACTCCGATGCTAAAGTTAGTGTTTGTGGGAGTATGAGTCTCGTATAAGTAACGTACGTACCTTGGTGTGAATTAGGGTTTCGTTGGGCCTTGGGCCTGAGATCAGTTATGATCTAATTAGATAGCGGATCTCGTCTAGGCCGAGATCTTCCCAGTGCATGTCCGAGGTCGTCCTGCACTGTGATGCCGAGCTTGAGCTCGGCATAACAATACGGATAGTACACTTCCCATTCTATCCTGAATAATAAAATGACAGTTTAAATGTATTTTTATTTTTGAGTTTCTTAAATTTAAAATTATTATTTTTAATTTTTATAATTTTAAAAAATCTTATTTTAATCTTTACTTAATTAATAAAATATTTAAAAATGATAAATTCAGATAATTATAATATGATATTTTTATTAACAGAAATATCAACAGATATGTTTTATGAGATAGTATTTGACAAGTTTTTTTAATAAATTTTAAATATAAAAATTAAAAATTTATATGAATTAAAAATAATTTTATATTTAAGAAACTAAATATAAATTTAAGACAAATTTAGAAACTAACAACATATTTAAGTATAAAATGAAAATCTCAGTATTATGTTTTTCCAGAACGTCATAAAGCCTGTGTAATGTTTGGTGTACCTTCCAAAATCAAAAGTTGTTGACGGTATTTGTGACCCAGAATTTGTTAGGACAAATAATATATATTAGTAATTAGGACTGTATAGGTAGATATATGAGATTTAAAAAAAAAAAACTAATTAAGGAAGATAGAGAATTATTTGATAAATGAGGCTGGCCACCAAACTTATCGAGTTCTATGATATTTTTTTTAAGATTGAAAAAATTATAAATGTGATCTTAATTAGATCAAACTTAAGTCGTCGTTGTTCTAATGTCATATTACAACTATTTTTATAATTTTTTTTGCCTTTTCTAAAAATAAAGAAATAAATAATATGCATCTCACACGTCACACCCTAGTGCTCCGTGATTTTAGTCCACCCTATGAAATTAACTGGCTTTTATATTAAAATTATTTTAGCTTATTATTTAATTTTAAGTTTGATACTTTCGATGGTGCCAGCTATAAGCAACAAAAAAAAATTCATACTAATTATTAGAAAAAATCTACTTGCACTAATTTCATTTAAAAAACACTTTAGTTTTTAAATTATCCGAAACTTGATAAAATGTTATTTTAGAAAATGATAACATTAAATACGGCAAATATAATAGAAATTTATTTATTTTAAGACTAACAAACATGTTTTTCCTTTTATATTTAGAATCAGAAGTACATAACTAAGTTTATGAAAATTTTTAATATGTTTTAAACTAAGTACATAAAAAAATTGTAATTGACATATGATTTTATTAAATTTAGAGATCCAATTATAAAATTTACAAATTATTTTATTTTAGGAATTGAATTAGAAATTTAAAATTCTAAGACCTATTAATGCTTTAAACCTTAATTTTAAATTTATTTAATTTGCTTTTTATCTTTTTTCTAAACATTACATATGATTTTTTTAAAAAAATCATCCGTAGTTTATAATCACACACACAATTAAATTGAAAATTTTAGTTAAATCATTATAATTAAAGACAAAAGAGAACTAACGAAGTGTAACATATTTGATAGATATCTCTTAAACATGTAATTAAGAGTTTAATTCAATATTGATGGTGCATATAGAAAAATATTTATTAAAAAAATGAACTCTTTAAATAAAAGTAACTAGATTAAAAAATTAATTCTTAACTTTTGACTTAAAAATATACCTTATTTTAAAGAAGAAAACAAGTATTCACATTCAAAGACAGATAAGAAGAAATGAGAGATTATGTGCCCATGACCAAAAATTAGGACTATAATTAAACATTCTTACCCCATAAAACGAATGTACATGCATAAGTGCAAACAGACAAAAAAGCATCAGAACTCATTTACCAATGTAGCATAGTGTGAAAGGAAGTAGGCTCCTTTGAACATCAAAGCCTTCCAAGTTGTAACCACATGAGTGAAAGTGTGAAACACTTCCCTTTCTAGGTACCCAAAACCGGTATGTCTTGTTTTTAACTCTGGTTCATTTATCAATGGAAAAAGCTTTGTGTGTTGGAAAGCATGTTTTGATTCCTTAATCTGAAACAAGTATTTTGGTTTTCTTCAACCTTTGTTGGTTGCTTGTAGGACTTTTTCTCTTTGTATTTTCATCTTCAAATGTCCTACTATTTTTCTTCACAAAATTCAAGTTTCTCAAATGCAAGTGCTTTGAAATGTTAAAAAGAAAAAAGGGTCCACTCTTGTGATTTCAAAAGCAACATCAAGGTTTTGGAGGTTTCCATGACTGAAAATTGTAGTTGCATCAGCATCAGTCAATTTTGTAAGTTTCTATGGCTGAAATTTTAGTTGCATCAGTTGCATTTATTTATAATTTCTTGCAATGTCAAAATGACCTGAAATTTGAAACCTTGGTAGCAGTTATAAGGTTTGTTCCAAACTTTCAATGTATTGCAAGTGATTCTATATGTTCTTTTCCTCTTTCTCTCAGGAAAGAGAAAGTTTTTGCTTCAATGACTTCTCCAACTAGTTATACTGATAATAAACTTCAGATCCAGCACATAATTAACATTCCTGAACATATTGAGCCTGAGGTGTATGATGAATGTTGCATTTACAAGGTTCCACCCCATCTTTCGAAGTTGAATGTGGAAGCCTATACCCCACAGTTCATCTCAATAGGCCCTCTTCACAGTGATAAGTCAGAACTAAAGCAAGAGAAACAGAAACAAAGGTACTTTCATGCCTTCTGGAAACGTCTTTCTCAAAAACAGGCTTTAGCTTTGTCACAATATAAAGCCTTCATTGAAGTGAGCAAAGAAAAGATACGTAACTGTTATTCCAAGCCAGAGCTGTGCAAGGAGGAAAAGTTTGTAGAAATGATCCTGTTGGACTCAGTCTTCATCTTGGAGCTTTTTCTGAGAAAATCAAGCAAATCTGAACAGGAGAATGATTTCATGTTCACCACATCATGGGTGTGCAAGAGCACTCAACGTGACTTGTCACTACTTGAAAATCAGCTTCCCATGTTTGTGTTGGAGGAATTGCACAAAAGGGTCTGGGTTGGAGATAATGCCACCAAGGAAAACTCTGGCAAATTTATTGAGCTTGCCTTTAACTACTTTGAAGATTTTTATCCACACAAGTCAATTCAAAAAATGGAGATGATCCAAAACTGTAAATCTTGCAAACACTTCACTGATTTGATTAGATACACCTACCTTCCTAGAGAAATCCAAGTCGAGCGGGTGAATGAAAATCCATCACAACATTTCACCCCTTGTCAAGTAGAATGTGTTCTGAGGACTGCAACAAAGTTGTATGAGGCAGGTGTTAGCTTTGAGAAAGTTCAAGGTAGGAGCTACTTAGACATAAAGTTTGAGAAAACTCCAATCCTGAGCTGGTTCTTGTGTTTTGGTTGCTTACCATACTCAAAATGGTTCAAAGCTCGTTTGCAAATTCCCCATTTGAAAGTAGACCAAGTGACTGAATGTGTTCTAAGGAACCTCATTGCCTTGGAGCAGTGTCACTATTCAAACCAACCTTTCATATGCAATTATGTCACTCTAATTGACTCTCTGATTCACACTCAAGAGGATGTGGAGCTTCTGGTTGACAAAGAAGCTATTGTTCATGAACTTGGCAGCCACACTGAATTGGCAACAATGATAAATGGTCTTTGCAGGCATGTTGTGGTGACTTCAAATTATTATGGCGAAATCACAAAGGACCTCAATAAACACTACAACAATTGCTGGAAACACTATATGGGTGTGCTGAGATCTGTGTACTTCCGTGACCCTTGGAGATTTAGTTCAACTATCGTGGGAATTGCTATTTTCTTATTTACTATTGTTAACTTTCTAAGGGTCATTGGTGTGTTTTATCCAAAACATTGACACTACTACTGTTCTTATAATTTTGCCAGGCAAAGTTTTGGTTCCCCACATATCTTCAAAGCATGCTGTATACTAAATGCAAACACGTATCTCCGCCAAGTTTTAATTGTAGTGAACCAATTCTAAGTGCTGAGTTTGAAAGATGTGTTTCTTTTTTATCACTAGCAATGAAATGTGTCAAGTATGAGATCAGTTTCTTTTATCTTCACAGATAATCCGATTCAATTTCTAAAGCTTTTCTATAACAGAAGCAACTTGGAAATAATATATCATGTTGTTTAGAAAAATTTGCTACTTAAGTTTTGGCCAAAATTCAAATCTACAAAGTGAATAATGAAACTAATTCAACTTTAAAAAATTGACCTATAAAGCGATTATTGCTGTTTATTTACACACTATTACTTATGATCATACTATTAATCGTGTAAGATTTATACACTATTATTTATGATTATACTACTAGCTAATGTGAGATTTCTAACTAAATTTAAAGATAATAAAATAATAATCCAATAATGGATGATTCAATACTTCATCACATCAAGAACTGAACATTTGTAATCAGTCCCATAACAACTCAATAATAAATGACACAATAAACTTAATACCTTCTTAATTCTTATGTGTAATATTATTAGACTTTGTGCATGAAATTTTTAGGGAGAACTATGAAAGTTATAATACCATCCATATATATATATATAGAATAAAATTCAATACAACTTTTTGCCCAAAAAAAAAAAAGACGTGGGACTTGAATTTTTGTTTCCCTATAATTCAAAAAAAAAAAGACGTGGGACTTGAATTTTTGTTTCCCTATAATTCAAAATGTGGTGTATTAGTAAAAGTGTGAAACCAAAAGCTTCCTAGAAGAAGGAAGAAGCATTTTTTTTTTCTTCTCACAAGTGCTTCTTGAATAATGAATAGCAAGTAGTGTGTTTTAGAAATAATTTAATTACATGACTTGGTCAATGTCTCCGAGCTTTCCGAAACCAGTTTTCAACATAATCATTACATAAGCAGGTTAACTAACACAATTAAATTAATATAAATACATTTCTTTATAATATAGCTGGTGGTCAAGTCATGTAATTAAATTATAGAATTTTGATAACGTTTACAAGGGGAGCGCATTCCCTGCTTTAATGCAATCATGAATCTTGATCATTAGAAGAAAATCAGATGATTCAAATTTTTGATACATATTTTAAGTATGATTTTACGAGATAAAATATAAGTGGTAAATTTTCATTCAATAGTTTTAATTAGTTGAAGGATTAATAGTTTGTTTGGTAAAGCATTATAAGAATTTATATAAATCTTACCATAATTTATAATTAAATACTAGAATAAAATAAATATAAACTTAAATTAATATATTTTAAAATATATTTTGAATATGCTATGTATAGTAACATATTATATTAAAATATTTTAATACTTATATTATATATTATAGTAAAATACTTTATCATTAGCATACAATTAGGGAACATTTGGTACACAAATAATTTTTATTTTTCTAAAATCTCACATTGAAATTGTTAGTTTTCTGTATTTAATTTGTTATTTAAAAATAACATTCATAGAAAATATTGTTTTATAAAAATGACTTTAAGTTTTCTATAAAATTATTCTTATTGTAGAGGTGAGAAACTAACTTTCTTGATATAAAAAGTAAAGTTTTAATATCATAAAATATTATATTTCTTTTGTTTACTTATTTTATGTCGTAAAAATTCTTCTTTGTGTAACATTCATAAACATTTTCATATATCCAACCAAGCATATTTTCATGAATTTTAGGGATGATAATTCCTGGATTTATATTTTTGTACATAAAAACATTTTCTCTAAAAAATATTTGCTCACTACAACAAAATAGTTTTTTTTATTGACATTTAATATGATTTTTAGTGGTAATAAAAATTGCTACAAAATATTTTAGCAGCATTTTCACAATAACCATCGTATGTGGTGTCGCTAAAACATTTAGCGACAATTATTCTGAATGCTGGTAAAAATCCTTATAATAGTCGGAAAAAGTGTATAACTTTTTGTGACATTTTTTACTTTCTACTCGATGTGTGACTTGTAAGATGATAATTGTCTTTTACTTATATATTTTTTAATTGTCTTATCTCCTAATTAATTATTTTATCAATATTCAATGTGAGATTTGGATTTTTCCAATATACCCCTTCAAGTTTAGGGACTATTAAGTTTGGTAATGGTGAATAACTTGATACCAACTTAGAATAGTAAGTTATAAGTCTAACTTAACCCTACAAAACAAACTTGTAAGGTGAGAGTTATCATCTATTTATATACTCTTTAATTATCTGATTTTTAGTCAACGTGAAACTTAAGTTTTTTCAAAGTGCATTACTTTTTCAAAAAATGGACAACAGCTATATTGCTGCATGACCAGAAAAAGACAAATAATTTCTAGGTCTCACATAAAGTCAAACACTGCTGGCAACAGGACAGAGAAGAATACACGCAATGTCTAAGAACGGGAAGCAACATTTATTGCAAGACCAAATGCATTTAAATGAAAGGATCAAACTAGTCATGAACGACTATATTAGCTTCAACGGACATATGCAACAGGCAAATTTTATAGGCCTATAAGTGTGCAATAACATCAAATCGAAAAAGTGGGCAAGAAGTAACAAAGGAATAATCATAGGCTTTGCCCTAGGCTTTTGATTAAAAAGAAAAAAAAGTGATATCAAGCCCACAAGACAGAGAGTTCAGAGATGAGCGTTGATAGTCATATATACAATGTAATATTGTATTTGTATCTTTATAGACTAAGGTTTTTGAAATGTCAATTATGGACAAACCTTAGTGAGTGTTGTAAACCTATGTATCCTCTCCATGAGAGTAACCCAAACACTCAAACACAAGTCTTTGTAAGACTAAGGTAACAAACCTTATAGAGTGTAGAAAATTTCCAATCCTCTCTGTGAGAGTTATGTATGCACTCAAGCCAAAGCACAAATCGATCATGTGTAAAGCTTGAAGAGGCTAGGAAAAGAATACCTGTAAAGTCTGGAGGGACTTGTCAAAGAATACTCACTAAGAGCCAAAAGTGGCTGAACAAAGAATACTAGCGCCGGTGAGTTAAGCTGGCAGGCGAGGAGTGGTCGAAAATACTTGTGGAACCAAAAGTGGTTTAAGAATATTAGTGTTGGTGAGTGAAGCCGACAGGCCAAGAGTGGTCGAGAATACTTGGGGAACCAGAAGTGGTTTAAGAATACTAGCGTTGGTGAGTGAAGCTGGCGGGCTAGGAGTGGTCAAGAATACTCAAGTCCAGGAGTGGACGATAATACTCAATGTTCTTCATGTTGATATCTAGTGGAACCCTTCAGTTGAAGGAGACTGGACGTAGCTCAGTTAAGTGAAGCAATATAAAATGATTGCATTATTTTTCTTGTTTAACTAGGAACAAATCTTCTTTACTGATTAAATCTTTGTGAAAGATTTCGTCCAATATTTACATATCGTTAAAACCATTTTTCAAATGAAGACGCAATTTCGTTTAACAAATATACTACACTAAAAAGCTTTATCTACTGCTTGTCATTAAACGAAACTATCTTGAAAAGGAAAATGCAAGAACTTTAATAATTATTATTATAAACCATTTTCCTCAGTAGACGATAAACCCTTCAGATGCAATGACCTTGTGTTAATCAAATTCTGCCTAACCGTCTGATATTCAAAAGTTCATTAGAGGAAGTATATTACTCTTGTGAAAAATGTGTTAAAATTCTTTCGTACACACACACATATTCAACCCCCCTTCTATGTGTTTTTCCGCTAACTTCACCTTTGAATGATCATAAAGCCAATGATCTGTTTTCTTTGATTCATTGTGATATTTGGGGTGATTATAAGGTTGGTTCTAGTTGTGGTGCATTTTATTTTCTCACGATTGTTAATGACTATTTGAGAGTTGTATGGGTATACTTAATAAATGTTCTTTATTTTTCTACCTTTGGACCTTATTTCATTAGTAGAACTATCACTAATCATGCAACAATCATTATCAAACAAATTAAACTTTAAAACCTTTATCACACAGTTCACTAAAAAATCCGAAACAAGTTTGTTCGGTTTTGTCCAAAAAAGAGCACAAATCCGAAGTAAACCCGTTCGGATGTGTCAAAGAAAGCAGCACAAATCCGAAGTAAACCCGTTCGAATTTGTCAAACAAAAGGGATAAATCCGAAGTAAGCTTGTTCGGATTTGTCAAAGAAAAGGCCAAAATCCGAAACAAGTTTGTTCGGTTTTGTCCAAAAAAGAGCACAAATCCGAAGTAAACCCGTTCGGATGTGTCAAAGAAAGCAGCACAAATCCGAAGTAAACCCGTTCGAATTTGTCAAACAAAAGGGATAAATCCGAAGTAAGCTTGTTCGGATTTGTCAAAGAAAAGGCCAAAATCCGAAACAAGTTTGTTCGGTTTTGTCCAAAAAAGAGCACAAATCCGAAGTAAACCCGTTCGGATGTGTCAAAGAAAGCAGCACAAATCCGAAGTAAACCCGTTCGAATTTGTCAAACAAAAGGGATAAATCCGAAGTAAGCTTGTTCGGATTTGTCAAAGAAAAGGCCAAAATCCGAAACAAGTTTGTTCGGTTTTGTCCAAAAAAGAGCACAAATCCGAAGTAAACCCGTTCGGATGTGTCAAAGAAAGCAGCACAAATCCGAAGTAAACCCGTTCGAATTTGTCAAACAAAAGGGATAAATCCGAAGTAAGCTTGTTCGGATTTGTCAAAGAAAAGGCCAAAATCCGAAACAAGTTTGTTCGGTTTTGTCCAAAAAAGAGCACAAATCCGAAGTAAACCCGTTCGGATGTGTCAAAGAAAGCAGCACAAATCCGAAGTAAACCCGTTCGAATTTGTCAAACAAAAGGGATAAATCCGAAGTAAGCTTGTTCGGATTTGTCAAAGAAAAGGCCAAAATCCGAAACAAGTTTGTTCGGTTTTGTCCAAAAAAGAGCACAAATCCGAAGTAAACCCGTTCGGATGTGTCAAAGAAAGCAGCACAAGTCCGAAGTAAACCCGTTCGGATTTGTCAAAGAAAAGGGATAAATCTGAAGTAAGCTTGTTCGGATTTATCAAAGAAAAGGCCCAAATCTGAAACAAGTTTTTGTTCGGTTTTGTCCAAAAAAGAGCACAAATCCGAAGTAAACCCGTTCGG